CTCATACACTTCTCAAAGTATAGCTGAGTTTGTGTAACTAGTGAGGGCAACGTCCAAGTTCAGACAGCTGTTTGAGCTGCTCCGTGTAAGTCACTGAGTTAAAGGTCTGTGAATGTGAAGCTAAATAATTCCTCAGTTATTTTATGCTTAGGAATGACTGAGGTTTAAGATGTGTTTAGCACCAGAAGCGGGGTGGCGGTGGCAGGGGGAGGTTGCTGCAGTTCCCATAACAATAAGAGGAGAGGCAATTAAAAGCCAATTAGTCATGGTCATTACTTCAAGGTCCAGCACTTTGCAAACTCTCCCCTCTTCAACTTTCCTTCTCCAGAGCTGCCCATTATCTGCAGTACAAAGACTCTGACATGAATGTGGACTGTCTGCCCTTCTCCATGGGAGCCTGGCCACACTGCTCCATACCCAAACGCTTCCCAGGCAGCCTCAGCACTGCTTTCCCCTCTGATCTTTGCCCTAAACAAATGTGCTGTTTATTCACTCTTCTTCTCATTTATGAAGACCCATTTCATGCTGTATGAATACTAATGAGAAAAGAATTAAATCTATGTTTAAGAATGAGTGAAGATTCCTCCTCTGAGCATTTACCATGACAGCAAAAGCATACCAGTTGGCCTCTTTCATTAGGCAAAACTTTGCCACTTGGAAATTAAGAGTGCAGGTTTGGCATTAAAGAAAATAAAAAGTGAATGTAGGATCCTATATCGATGGCAAAATTAAAAGAAGGAAACAGGCCCTTTCTTCCAACAGGCAGCAAAGATTCATTAGTATCCTTAAGGTTATTCTGGTTCTGTGCAACACTGCTGATTAGCACCTTCTTCAATCCATTTCATGTTTAGTTTCAGGTTATAGTTTGAAGGGATGGCAAGTCTGCTCTTGCAGCTACATAAGCAGTATTAGAAACTCCCTTCCTCCCCTTCACAGTTTCTGTATAGCCAAAAAGATCTCTAGCTCTGCCTCCTGATCTTTGGCACCAAACCTGGCAGATAACACTGGGTTTGGATGACATGAATGGAAGCCAGCTGTGCTCATACATCCCTCCTTTGGAACTAAACTGCACAGGACACTCCCCTCCCTTTACTTCTGTCACTAGGCTGTTGGTCCTGTCCTTTCCTCTCACCTTCCGTGGTCACTGTTGGAGATAAACCTGTACAGAGCACCACACAACACTGGGCTCCAGGCAAGATGGATCAAAACACCACATTTCCAGTTGTGTTATTTGCAGTGCATCCTTGACATTATATATTAGCTGCTCTCCTGGGGGGGGTCAAAATTTCTGTATGTACTCATGACGCTGCTTGCTTTTTCCCTTCATTTTTATCTAGCAGGAGGAGCTCTGGAATTCCAGTTTGTCTGGCCACATATTCCTTTAAACACATTTAAAATCTGACCCATTGCTGAACACCTTGAAGTAATTTCCATGCGTGATTCTAGAAAACAGGGTTGTATCTGACTCTGGGCTGCCTGTTATTGAGGGTGTAAGATTCACTAACTTGCTGTATTTCTTCTGCTGGGCAAACTAAAGCACAATATGATTAGGTCCAAATGACAGACCCTGTCCCAGAACCAAGGTTTAAATTCTGAAGCTCCTGGGTGTGAAAACCCTTGCTGAAAACTTTCATTTCTTTCAATTTTCCCAGATGAACATCTCCAGATAAGACAGACAGGGCCTGTCTGTAGGCAACAGTGGGCAGAAAGACCTATCAAAACATGCTGTCTGTGTGGCTCCCTTTATTTCTCCACATTGAGAGATAGCTGATGAGGTCCTCTCAAGAAAAATCCTATAGAATTACCAGATTTCAACAACTAATTATAAGTTCCCTTACAAGAACTACAGAGAAGTCAAAGCTGGTACTTAGGTCTGTCTTGAATCTCATCTGAGAGGAGGGAGTCTGCTGCTCTAAGTCCTGAACCACAGGGGAAGGATTGGGGTTTCTTTTCCAAACTTCCCCTTGGACTCCAAGCGAAATTGAAGCCAGGCTGCCAGATGCAACATGTGGATACCACCAGCAGATGTCCCATTAAACATCACAGCATTCACCCACTTTTGCTAGGAAAGACTTCCGGGATACTTGAATATTCTCAGTGTTTTAGGGGTTAAAATCTTAACCCGCTCTGAGACTACAGTGAGTATTCACTGAGAAGTCAATGTGTCTGTATGACGTAAACTGGCTCTAGAGGTCTCTGAAATCCAGACACACCTAAATTATACTGCAGCTCAAACCTAAAAGAACAACCTGGCCCAGTTTGAATGCCTAAGCTTAACAGTGCTTCTTATTTGTGCACTGCTTTGCAATTCCTTTTTCCAGCACTACTGAAGCTAACTGACAAGCCAGGCTCCATTCTGGAGACCGCCATTCCCCTTGACTTACAGGAGATCCAATTTTTGCTAAGCTAAATCATGCCAGGAGCCAGAAATAAAACATGGCATTAGGTATTATGCACTCAGCATAATACCTCGAGGAGGTAAATAAATGGTTTCCCTCAGCTTCTGTCCCTACAGAAATTCTCACATACTGATTTTGGTGGCTGTTGCTGTTAAATTCCTGATGTTCAGATCCTTTGACAAGCAACAAGGGAACTACTATTGGTGTGGTTCTGGAGGAACTGACGGTAGCTGAGTTAGATGAAACAAAAGCTCTCTGCAATACTTATCTCCAACTTGGCATCAGCTTTTCTATTGCTACATCCCAAGTCCTGTTCCAGCAGTAGTCAAATTCACAGGTAGGAAGTCTTCAGAAGATTTGTACAAAGAGATGATGTTCTACAACTTGTTTCAGCAGCACCAATTGTTCAGTGCTTTAACTCTTACTTTTGGTTGATGACTATATAAGGCATTAAGTACAAGGAATATTCAACATTCACCAGCCCAAAACTAATCTGAAGAAGAATTTGGAGGGAACTTAATTGACTACAAAATTCCTGAACTCGGTTTGCTTTCTTCTGCATATAGATTGCTTGTGATCTACCTGACAGCTCCTATGGGGAAAAGTATAACTTCTATATGGTCTAAATAGGAAAATGCAACTATTGAAAGAAAAATGCTTGCTAAATAGTAAAAAAAGGAAGCAATAGAAATGTACTCTGTAGGAAATGTAGAATATTACATTACACAACACACACAAGCTTGCTATGGATTGGACTTGGTGTTCAATTCGCTCCATAGCTGAGGGGTAGCTTATTCCTAACTTGGAAAATGTTTGATACCAAACTTATATGTGTGGACTGATACACCACATTTCCATTTGTCCAATGTAACTATGAGTTTCTTACTACATTATAATAGCACAATTTCTTAAATTCTTCATAGCTTTGATTTCAGTAACATTTTGTGGAATTCAGTTCCATGTTATGTACACTATGTGAAAAAACAAGACTCCTAAAATAAATTCAGTATTAGGGTTTGCCTTTCCATGTCATAGACATTATTTACTACTCTGCATGTAAATAAGAGTGTCTGAATTTATTCTGGCAACTAGGTTGCATACTTCCATTGTATTTCCTCTGAATAAGTGATACTGTCATTCAGGACATCCCTATGAAACAGCAGGTCTGAGAGCCAAACTGGACCAAACCAAATGTATTCCAGCAAGAGAGCAGTAGCTCCAATGGACTCATCATTTCTGCTATTTCACATTCCATTCCCATTCTTTCCAAAATGTAGCATTTTATTAGAATCCCAGACTGGTTTGTGTTGAAGGGACCTTAAAGCTCCTCCAGTCCCAAGCCCTGCCATGGGCAGGGACACCTTCCACTAGAGCAGGTTGCTCCAAGCCCCTGTGTCCAACCTGGCCTTGAACACTGCCAGGGATGGGGCAGCCACAGCTTCTCTGGGCACCCTGTGCCAGTGCCTCAGCACCCTCACAGGGAAGAACTTCTGCCTCAGAGCTCATCTCAATCTCCCCTCTGGCAGGTTAAAGCCATTCCCCTTGGCCTGTCCCTACAGGCCCTTGTCCAAAGCCCCTCTCCAGGTTTCTTACAGACCCCCTTTAGGTATTGGAAAGCTGAATTGTTAGAAAATAAACCCATGTTTTAGATTTTGGTTTGTGTGCAGTAAAAGTTCCCACTGTACCACACCCAACAACTTACAGTGACTTGGCTCATTTCTTGATTGACAGACTTGGGTCCTTTTCCTGATTGAGTTAGAAAATTTTCAACTCAACTACATGTAAATATATTCTGGATTTTTCCCTCTAGCATGTGCTACCCTGAATTCCCTTGAAGGTCTTACCCCAGTCCTGTCCATGTAGGTAACTATAAATTCCTCAGTCTGAACAGTCACTGTCCTTCATTGAACCTAATTCTTTTTTTCAAAATACATTTTGTTGGCAAGCTTAAGGACTCATATTCATCAGTTACATTATTTGATCTGTGTATCAAATAATGTAACTTGAAAGCAGTTTCCTTTAAAACACACAGATGTAATGCCCTCACATTCCACTCAGAACAACACACCTTTTCCAATGAGATAGCAATGCAGAAGCACATTGCTGAGATGCTTCTTAACAGTAATTCACTGATTTTCAGATGTGTCACTGTTTCCGTATCACTCTTCTTGACTTTTCAGTGGCTGGCACTGCTTCATCTCCAGTACTTGGAAGACTTAGGTCAAAACCGCCTGGCATTTCAGCCCAAGTGACCAGATGCAAGACTTGCTACCCTTGCCATGGTGTTATAGTGCCCATGGTAAAGATGAGGCATGCACTGCCTCATATGTAGTTTCTACAGGTCTTTGACCTGAACTAAAAGCTATAAGTGGCACTTAGTTTTGTTACCTAAAGAACAGCTGAAGCCACCTTCCTTTGATTCCCTGTGAAGCAACCAAATGCAGTCCTCAGGTGTTCAATTCCACAGGCACAGATACCCCTGTTCTGCTATGGCAAGTCTGCACGAGTGCAATCAGAGCCATTCATGTGCTACACTGTGTGTGTTTATCTTGCTTTCTCTCATTTCCTACAAGTCCACTTGACTTCACCCTTCCTTTCCAGGTCAGAAATGGTGAGATTCCAGCTTCCCTCAAGCAGCAGCCCAGAGCAGAAGGAGGAAGCAGCTTTACCAGATGGGAGATGCTGCCTGGCTGTCGGACAACAGGACCGGCGCTCGCCCACTGGTGGGGCTGGGGCTTCTGAGAACGGTACCAAACCCAGTACCCAACTGCTTTATGTCCTCACTGATCTGTAAGATCCTCAGCAGAAAAACTAATAGAGATATTAAGCCCATTTAAGCCACAAACCAATCCTAATGAATCTTGAAATCCTAGACCTAAATAAAAGGTAACATCCCAACTTTCTCAGCCCCTCCATAGTTTTATGTTCAACAAAAGACTGAAGGTATCACTTAGACCTATGATATAAAAACTTGATTTTTCATATGAGTTACTTCACCAAAACCTTTTTCCTGGCTTAAGCGTATGAAGTTTTCATTTCTTTGTAAATAAAGACTCAGAACTGCAGCAAAAATAACTTCCAACAAAGCCATGTGCAGTTAATTCTGTACAGTCACTCTTTGGAAACATCCTGGCTGCTTCAATAACTCCAAAAAGATCCAACCTGTTTAGCACATGCAGCACCAACCACTGCCATAACAGTTGACACTTGTGCTGTCCCATGAGACCACATGAGGCATCCTTTGAACGCCTTCTGAAGTCACTGGGGCTGCCAAGGCTGGTTCTCACTATCAATGACCTCAGCCGGGCCTTTGCAGAGCAGCCAGTTACAAGGGCTCTCAAAGAGAGCAATTTGGGGAGTCATTTAATGCTGAGACACATTTATGACAGCTATCATAGAAGGTAAACATCTTCTGGCTCCCATGCCCAGTAAAGAGCAAATGCCAGGTTTGCTAAGTCTGCCTTACCTTCAGTGATTATTTTGGGGTTTTGAACACAGCTAGTTCAAAGAAGACAAAAGCACTTACCCGACATCAACAGTAAGTAACAAGGTATCTTTACGGCAGCCTAGAGAGCCGTATGTCATGACAAAAACTTAATGTTAGGTATTTATTGCATGGACCTGGCAAGCAGCTGCTTGGGAATGTGAAAAATGATGACATATCAATACAATGAACACTGTAGCATGTTCTCCATCTGGTTAGACTTGTAAAGCAAACCTGCTTTCACAAGTATTTTTATCAAATCAGACACTTTGCCAGCTCAAAGGCAGTTGCCATGTCTACACCACCCATATTTCAAGTAGAAACAGCTTTTTAGCAAAAGCTTTTCAAAGAAATAAATTGTGGGTTTATAGATCTAAAACTGTTCCATCAAATAAAAAAAGATTAGTTAGGCTGAAAAGGAAAATAACTCAGAAAGCTGAACAAACGTGCAAACATCTGGGATAAACCTCGATATACCAGGCCAATACATCCAGGTGCAGAATTAGTTACAGGTATTTATATACATTTTAGTAAATTTTAAATGCCTTAGAGCAGAAGAGCAATTGCATCAGTGGAACAAGGCAAGTTATTCTACATTAGCTGGTTTACAAATTAATGCCTAAATATCACCACAATAAAGTGTAAAATATTAGCATAGTAGAAGAATTTTAATAAAGTACTGGCTTTATGTTAGAGGAGATGAATAAGAGGTTTTGCTTTTCCTTTCTGCTTTCCAGTCCTGCTAATTATAACCTAAGATCTCTTTCGTGGAAGTCTCTTTTGCCTACATGTTCAGTCAGAGCAGAGGATGTTCCCATGGAGGGGGAAGCATTACAAGTGTCTTTGGTATCTTAGCATGAAGACTGCTTGAGATTCACATGCCTTTTCTTCCGTTTCTAAAAGCCTAATCTGAGTGTCTGCTATGCCAGATGCTGCAATTCATTTACTGGGTTCAAAGGGACCCAGTAAAACATACCAGTTTGAAGCTCTTCAAGGAATCCATAGTACTGTGCAGTCAGTTCTCACAGCTGCCACAACAGTTATAAACTCTGATTATTGTCCCTTTGAACTCCTACAGCAAGAAAATAAGCGATGATAGAAAAGCTCACTGCTAATGTATCAAAGATTGAAAACAGAAAGTCTTTTTTTGTTGTTGGTTTGGCTGTGCACAGCCTCATGGAAAGCAAGCACTTCTAATAAGTTAGTTTATACAGTGTAAGGATTGCCATGCGAATACAGCCATTCATTCTCTAATTAAAGAGCAACAAAGCATGCAGCTGAGCTTTGTTCCTGCTTAGGCAATACATTAGTGAACATGATAACCTATAGATTAGGCACATTGGATGCTGCTAGAATGAAAGTTGCATTAATAAACATATGTAGAATGTTAACCATAGGAAAAATGTAACATTTTTCCTTTGTTGCTGAAACTAGAGCTGGGGAGGCTGAAGCACACCATGGGCTGGCAGTGGGCAGCAAAGGGCTTCTGCAGAGGTGGGACACCAGTGGCCTGCCAAGAGGTCCTGCCAACACCCCACAGGCAGTGACCACTCACTGCCTCCTGGCACAGAGACCTGCAGATGACATGCAACTTCTAACAGCAACAGCTTGAAAATGGTATTTTAGCTTAAGCTGCAGGTGCTGTCCCCTTGAAACGAGCCAGAAAATCACAGACCTGAGAGTCTCTGCTGGGACACTCATCCCCTTGAGCCTACCTTTCCCATGCAGAATGAACCATGTACACACAGCACTTGTAACCCTACCTGAGGGCAAACATGGTTTGATATTTGAAGAAGTAACAGCATTTGACTTAATAATTATTAGAATTCATAGAATCATAGAATAGTTACGGTTGGAAAGGACCTTAAGATCATCTAGTTCCAAACCCCCTGCCATGAGCAGGGATGCCACACACCAAACCTGTTTAATTAACTGACAGTGATTAAGTGCAAGTAAGTCTAAAATACAAAATCATGTTGACACTGCCTTAACCTGATGGCAGTTCAAAATGAATATTCAGAACAAAGATGTAATCAGTGTTTCTCATGTATTCAAGGTTTCAAAAGACTCCCAGTAAATTACAAGCATCATAATCATCCTCTAAGTCCCAGTAAATATCTTCTTGTGATAAAAAGGAGTTAAATGCAATAGCTTTTTTAAATTACAGCTAAAACAGTACTAAAATACTACTGTAATAGTACATGTATAGTTACATGCATTGCAGATGACTTGTTTATAACCTACTTAGCATGTGAGGAGACATTAGGTTTAGGTAAAAAAAGATAGCTAAACATTAGTTAGCTATAGGTCTAATATTAGATTTACATACTAAAACCAGTGACCCTACAAAACAGTGAGGGAATCGTGGAATCCTAGATTGGAATGGTTAGGGTTGGAAAGGACCTTAAGATTATGAATGAATTACATACTATTTACACCAAATTCCTGCACTGTGAATATGTGTTCAGCTGGTACAATGGCTAAGCAAAAATAACCTCAGAGAGTACAGTGCTTTCTCATTCCTCTTCAAAGTGTATATTCCATGGTATACATGAACAGTAATTGCCCCCACTCCTTACAGCAGACTGATCATTCACACTTATCCTTATAACTGCTCAAAAAAGAGATCTGAAGCAAAACGGCTACAAGTTAGCTGCAAGAAAGCACACAAGTATTCAAGGGTCTTAAAGCAATGCCCCTGGCAGAGACTGCCCTGTCTTACCTTTGGAGCCCCTTGCCATGGATGCTGGAGAACCCTGGAGTCTGCTTCACTGGGCTTTTCAAATTCTCACTTCTTTTTGTGTCTCTGTCTCTGGGGTTAAAGCACTACAGCTGTGGCCCGTTGGGGTTGATGTGTGTTGCTGGTTTCTCATGCAGAGGATCAGCTGTTCCGTGCTGTGGAGGGCCAGGCTGCCTCTGATGAGGAGGAGGAGAAGTGGGCAGGAGACCAGCCCACCCAGGTGGACCACATGAAGAAGATACTGGCCAAGCTCCCCTGCTGTGCCAGTGGGTAGGTTAATGCTTCCTGAGCCCTTTGCAAAGACTATTTCATGACCTGAAGGCACTATGGCTTCAGTATGAAGCAGTAATGCTACAAACAAAAGCAGTAGGCTCCTCTGCCCACCCCAACCTAACCCAAGGCAGTGGCAGCCAGGCACAAATTTGTGATCTGGGCTGCCAGGAGCTTTGCAGGAAAATTGGCTTTTACAAACACAGACCTTCATCTGTGAGAGAGGTTCCCCTAATTTATTGATTTGTTTTTAAAATGTCTATATAGGTGTGATGAAAAGATGTGGAAAAGGCTAATGTCTTACTTGGAGACCAGCAGGAGTGATGGCCATGAAGCAGCGCCTGTGGAGCTCGCAGAGAGAATCACACAGCTCACTGAACAGCTCCACCTGAAAGGGCACGAAGTGCAACAACTGGAAACAAACGTAGAAGAGGTAATAGGTGCCAAGCAGAGTGTGAAAGAGTTACTTATGTATCTCTAAGTAGCTGCATTTATATACAAGTGCATTTATATTGTGGACATTCTGCTCTCTTGCTGATGTTCCTCACCAGGCTCTTAGCTTGTCAGCTTAAATCTCATGCTTCCCTGTAACACCTGTGTTTCATGTCTGGTTCCTACCTGAAACTCCTTTTGTTTGGAGGATAAGTACACCAGCCACTATCAGACAGGCTGTTCTAACAAAATAGCCAAGATATCCTACTAGTCCCATGTGATCTTAGTGTTTAAATACTGTACACCTCAGCCACTGATGGGCACAGATTTAAATGCTGGCATTCCCTCTGTGAAACAAAAATAGGGAATTGTCTGCATTGCTTTGGTCTGCTCTGTCTTCAGGTTCAGTCAGTGCTTGTTCAGTATTTCCCTTCCTTGAAAGGAGCATAAAGATTTCAGTAGTTTTGGAAGGATTGTATTAGTCACTGAGCTGTTTAAAGCAACAGTAAAATACCCACCTTTGCTACATGTGGCCATCCTTTGATTCTTATCAGTATTTCATATTGTTTGTCCCTGAAACTAAATCAAATGAAATTACTTGTGAGGAAAAAGAATTAAGACCAGAATAAAATCACTCTTGTGTCTTACACAATGTGCAGTATTTGATGACAATTTATTCCTGCAATGCTCCCTGGAGCAACACAAAGCTTCCTTCTACACTGCTCAACATCACCCTATGTAAAAACTTAGGGTTATTCTTCATAACTACTTTCGTGTAGGCAGTGACAGTTTTCTTCTTCCCCCTTGCCTTCTTTTTAATCTCTGCTGATGGATATTGATTCTGTGCACCTTGTTCAGAAAAGTACCATTATCAATAGAGTAATACAAAATTCCAGGGATCTGTTGCTCTTGCTTTGAAGACAAGCAGGGACATGAATAAGCCACAGTGCCAACTCACTGCAACATGAATTTAAAAGCAGTAGGATGAATCATTTTGGGCCTGTTAGAAATTTATTCTTAAACCCTCTTATTTAGCCAGCATTTGTCTCTTGTGTGCAGTTACAGGCTGGGGTTTGTGATGCTACAAAACAGGCAGAGAAGCACTAAGTAATTTCTCTCCAAAAGGTAACTGTCTCTGTATCAATTTGCTCTGTGTAACCAACACAGAGCAAATTGGAAGACTGAGAAATGCTCTCTCTCGTCTAACTTGCAAGTAAATATATTGGCTTCATAAATAACCACCGAGAACACTTCCCCTGATGACCTGACAAACTATCTTATCCATTCCTCTATGTATTTCCATCGGGACCTGTTCAATGTTGACAATTAGACGAATGACAACAAATCTAACAAGTACCAGGCCCAGTGGGCAAGTGAAGAGCAACACTCTCAAATACTGAATAATAATTGCTTCAGATTAAGACTTGTAAAACCAGGGGTGAACAGTTCTAAGATGTGTCCTGTGTGCAGAGCTCTGCTTTCCAGCACCAGAACAGTTTAAAATGGTTTTCACTGGAGGCAGGTGCTGAAGGTGTCGGGACCTGGGGATAATGGATGGAGGAAACAGGAGTGACGCACTGCCAAGCGCAGCGTTGCAAAGAAATGCCAATAACTTTCTATGACAGCTTGCATGCAAGCTGCCAGCTTCATTACAACAGAGGTAGTTTATGACCTGCCATCCAGGGTCAAATGAACAGTTCATCCTAACATCACACACCTGATGGCGAGCAGCAGCTGTTTAGAGTAAAGCAGTGAGAAACAGAACAGAGATTTTCTTCTTGGTATTGCTCACCTGGTTCCCAGCACAGTAGGGACTGATACAACTTGAACTGGATGGTGCATGGACTATCATGGTTAATGGCCAGTCCTGGGGCTATTTACCATGAATTTACCTTTCCTTTCTCCAAAGCTAGCAATGCTTTTAGTATCCTGGGGCAAGGACTCCCACATACTAGTTAAAAAAGAACTGGTTTTGAGGATTTGATTTTGTTAGCTTTAAATCCGCTGCCTGATCACCCATTGTCACCTCAGTTTTGTGCTTGGAAATCAGCAAATTACCTTTCCCTCACCATTTTACAGACTTCTATTATGAGAAATGCTGCCTTAGTTACAACCACTCCTAGAGAGCCTTAGCTCTCAGTACAGAAACCATACCTTATTTCTATTATTCTGCTTTATTCTTCCATATAGTTTTCAAGCTCTATTACCCTTTTCTTATTAGAAGAACTGAAATATGCTTAGTATTCAAATGCAAGCCCTCCATGGCAATAAGCATAGCTGGTTTGTGCCTAGTTCCTTCCCCCACAGCTCCTAGCAGGTATATTCTGACCTCTGCTGACCACTGAGCTATGTTCAGGAGGTGACAGCTCTTCCACATCTCCTTCTGAGTGGCAGTCATCATTGCTGCATGTGTACAGCTTCGTGGGCCCTTCCTACATGCCTTACTTTGCATTAGTGACACTGAATTTCATCTGATCATTTATTGTCCATTGCTATTCAGTATCATGAACTCCTGCTGTCATTTTGATTACCCCCCCAAAAAACATTTTGAGAGCAAACTTAAAACCTTTTACATTCACCTTTTTAAAGGTCATTTCTGAGTGTGTTGAAAGCTCAGGGGAGCTCCTTGTGAGACCCCCAGGGTTGTCTCCCTCCTCTGTGCACCCTTCAGTCCTGGTCTGTCACTCTGTGCCCTGCCCCAGCTCGGGACCCGCTGTGAGACCCTGGCAGGATCAGTGCGGGGTTTTTTTGAGTCTTTGGTGATGATTCTTATGAAAAGCTTTCTGCAGATTCAAAATACATTCTGTCAATCAACTAAATTAACACTATTCAGATATATTCACAGACCCATTCAAAGAAAACTAAGAGATTCTTCACTATGTTCATCTACGTATTCACAAGTCCCTCCACCATTACAGTTCCCATCAATATGCCTGACAGAATTACTGATACTCTCAGAGATTTGCTGTTCCTCAGATCATCTCTGAAGCTTCTCTTAAAAACTGGTGCTCCTTTTGCCACCCTGCAGGCTTTTGAGGGTGAAATTATTTAAAAGATGAATTGCACAGCACAATTCAGCACTTCATTCTGCCCTTCTGGTACCCTTTTCTTCCCATTTAGAGAATGTTTCTCAGGTTCACTGCTTGTAAAAGGGGCTCTAATATGTGCCTTCTGTGGAAAACACAATAGGATTATTTTCTGTTACATTCCTTAAGGAATATTAATTATTCACTGTCCTAAATGTACCTGGACACACTGCTCCAGAGCTCAGGTTCTCCCCATGGTATTCTCCTCCCTCTTTTATAGGAGGGCTGGATAGCAGCTGCTGCCTTCTCAAGACTGGTATTTGGCAAGGTCGTGTTTCCGTCTTACAAATAAGGCACAGATCCAAACCCTGGCTTTGATGAGGGACTTTGACAGAGCTAAGTACAAACCCCACTCCTCTGAGCCCTATGACTTAGCTACTCACCACCCCTCCTCAGTCTCTAACTTTTAAAAATAGCTTATGCTTAACTAGCATCACTGTCTTATTGCCAACAGCAAGGTAACCAGAGGTGCTAGATGTAACCTGGCTAGAAAAATCAGTCTGGGAGAATGGTTTAATGGCACACTGAGCTGCTGTCTTCAAGCACAAGAAGATGATAAGAAATGCATACTCATATGTATAAATGAAATGAAGGTATCAGGAAACTAGCATCCTTACTGGTGACAAGGTGGCTGTCAAGGTGTAACTGCTGTGGAAAGCACTTTACTCACTATAGCACAGGAAATACAAGGCAAAAGGGCTTTGTAAGAGCAGTCAAAATCAAGAGGAAGAATAGACAGCAGTAGCAACAAATGCTGTGTCCAAGCCTCACTGTGGCTAAGCACTGTGCCTGTGCTGTCTGTGCAAACTGAGCAGCGGGCCATGGCAGCAGAGAGCTGGGAGAGCTCCAGAGCAGGCACTGAACAGGGACGAAGGTACTTCCCATTCACACTGTATGTGAGACCTGGTATGCAGGAACAGCCCCCTGGTAAGGACAGGGAGTCCCTATGACTCCTTCCAGGAGCCAGCATGAGCAAAGCAGCAGCTAACAGCAGCAGATGAGTGCTGGCAGGGTGCAGGCCTAGGATAGATGGACACTCATTAGGAATTTCCATGAGCATCCGTCTTATTGCATAGTGGGAAAGTCTGTTTCACACTTAAAAATAATGACCTTTTTACCTCTCTGTTATTTATCAGACACTGCTCCAGCTGCACAGGGGGACACAACTCTCTGTGTAGCACCTACCTATGCCAGGTGGTATTTACAATGCCAAGGTAATCTGTAGTATAATAAAGGAAAGCACATTTCATTCATTGCAGACCTCCCCCAGCCTCTAGAGTATTTGCTGTGTGTCAGTGGGAGTGCTGCCACATCAGTGTAACAAAGCTGGCCCTCCATGCAGGAAAATGTTCCTATGTTCTTCCAAAAGCAGGGTTCAGACAGGGCTGCTGAAATCACTGTTTGGCAGGTGGACCAGATGCAGTGATCCAGACTTCTGGAGCTGCTGTATAGCACAGGGAGCAGGAGTGCCTCACAGGGCAGAGCTCACAGCACTGCCAAAACAGGCTGATTTCCTATTAACACTGTCAGAACCTAAACTGACCTCGCTGTGGATCAGGGACTGTTTTCTTTCTTCAGTCTGTGATTTAGGGAATTAAAGTTCCTTCCTGTCTATTAAAATTCATTAGGACATAAATTTCCACAGAAAAAAGATCTATTACATAGTGTGCATATTACAGCCTTCAGCTTTTTGAGTTCAACTCTCTCCTTAGTTATTTCTAAAGCTGCAATAAAGATAAAACATGACAACAAAAAGGGATAACAGCTTGGCCACGTACCTGTCACAAGCTTGGGTTTGTGACAAAGAGATTGAGTTCTGCAAATGGTGTGGCAGCTTTGAGGGTCAAACTGTCACTTAGATTTTGCATTGAAACCGAAGCAATGTTCCTCCCTTTCAAATCCTGGGAGGCCTGAGATGACAGACAGGCCAGCTTTGGAAGCTCCAAGTCTGATGAGCCTCCTCCTGCCCAGGATTTCTGTAGGGTTCAGAAGTCTTATTGAAGTCTTTTCTGTATTTGGCTGCAAACCAGTGCTTCCCCAAGCACACATGCCAGTGTTTTGCAGAACCAGAATCTTAAGGAAAAAGAAATTAAGACACTTGTTAAACCAAAATACTTAAAAGAAATAAGCTAGTTACCTTCTTATGTCCCTGAATGTACAGATGACTGACATGTAAGGAGGTGATCCTGCCCCTCTACTCTGCTCTCGTGAGACCTCACCTGGAATATTGTGTACAGTTCTGGTGTCCTCAACATAAGAAGGACATGGAGCTGTTGGAGCAAGTCCAGAGGAGGCCATGAGGATGATAAGAGGACTGGAGCACCTCCCGTATGAAGACAGGCTAAGAAAGTTGGGGCTGTTCAGCCTGGAGAAGAGAAGCTGCATGAAGACCTCAGAGCAGCTTCCAGTGTCTGAAGGGGGCTACAAGGATGTTGGGGAGGGACTCTTCATTAGGGACTGTAGTGATAGGACAAGGGGTGATGGGTTCAAACTGAAACAGTGGAAGTTTAGATTAGATATAAGGAAGAAGTTCTTTACAGTGAAAGTGGTGAGGCACTGGAATAGGTTGCCCAAGGAAGTTGTGAATGCTCCAGCCCTGGCAGTGTTCAAGGCCAGGTTGGACAGAGCCTTGGGTGACATGGTTTAGTGTCTGGTGTGCCTGCCCATGGCAGGGGGTTGGAACTAGATGATCTTAAGGTCCTTTCCAACCCAAACCATTCTGCAATTCTCTGATTCTATGTAGGAGAAGCAAGATAAAGCCTTGGTTACATTGGTGAGGGCACACAGATCACTTATGCTTTCTAGAGGATGACAGGAATGCACAAGATCAGAAAACTGAAATGGCAGTGCTAGTATTTGAGATTTCTGAATGATCTGCTTGCATCCAGTGTTCGATGAATGGCCACTACACACAAGAGCAAAGCATGCATCCCTAGAACTGTTGACTCTTCACTTCATGTAGTATATCTAAGAAATGTACTTCCCTTCAAGAAAACCTGGTGTGAACTGACATTTACCAGCTAAGGGGGAAAACCCAGCTTTGCAGTTAGCGGGCAAGAAAGGGAAATGCTCCAGTGCTTTTATTTTCCTGTGTCATTGTCCAGATGAAAGGCCCATTGCTAGGTGAGCTGCAGCAAAAGGTGGAGGAGACTGAAGTGCTGAAGATGGAGCTGCAGATGTTGGAGACGGAGAGAGTTAGGCTGTCCCTGGTGGAGGAAAAGCTCATGGACGTTTTACAGCTTCTTCAGCAACTTCGAGACTTGGTATGGCAAGAAAGCAGTCCAGAGACTCGAAACTGGTTTTGATAGTGTCCTTCCCAAACACCTGAAAAGGGTGTTCATACCTTCTGTTAAGTACAAAGCCCTGTACATCAGGACACATTTCTACCTGTGTTTGCTCTGGGAACTGCCTGGTGATTGCAGAACACTTTTAGACCCCTATGGCTGACTTCCCAAAAGAAGGCTAGAGATCTCCATGGCTCTAGATCTCCATTATTCTCTAAACAAAAACTTGGAGGAAATGAGGAAAACAAAACTGCTAGGAATGTGAAAGATTATGAGAGATTATTCTTCCTTCTAGAAAAGGACCTTTGTTTAACTGTATCCTAATGTGACACTGAGTCAGTATTAGAGGGATAAAACCCCTCCCTATGGATCAATACGGTGGGTTTTTAATATGAAGTTTCTTACCCAATGAATAATCCACACATGGATTTAAAAAAGCTGATGGAGTAACATCTCAGAAGGAATATGGCCAATATCACAGTTCAGCCCTTCAGAAAATAACTTGAAATCTCCTGCTTGGGAACAATAATGGTAAGCGCTGGCCAAAAGATTGGCAAACCAGATAATCTGCAGGTCAAGGACTGCACTGGGAGCCACACTGGACTGCTAGGAACTGATTCTGTCACAATGACTGAGGGTTCTCCTCAGCTTTGAGCACTGTGCTGCCCAGTCTGTGTGAGGGGAGAATGTTTCCTCAGATGATCACTATTTTGTTTGAAGTACACTCAATGTTCCACTGATAACTCCATAGAACAAGTGCAATATCTCATCATTTGTAACTTATTTTAGCACTTGACATGGAAATTTTACTTTCATATTGTAAGTCTGACACATGCATCAGTACCAATCCAGTGAAGGATTAAGCTAGTAGACTATGACTGGCAACAAGCATAATAACCTTTTGTGTCAAGACTTCAACATGTCATTCACTGGTCAGCTGTATTATTGCAAGTCATCTCTGTTAGGAGACAATGCATCACACGATGTGCCATATCTCAGTGGTAACAGCCCTTCATGCTGATTGTTGCTGGAATCACACCACCACGTGCTGCCAACTCCCATAGAAGTAGCACAGGCAATGATGCTGTCAATGAACAAGAAAATTTACAGCGTTCCCAGTAGAGTTTAGCAAGGATCCCTTAAATCCCTGATGGGATATACGTCAGGCAAAAGAATGCTTATTCATTAGAACTTGTGGATTTAGGTGTCACTTCTCCAGCATGTTCACATTCATGTTTTAAATATTCCAAGCTTCTCATTTGCAACATTATCCACCCCAAAGCAGTGACTGTCCAAAGGCAAATGCCCGTCCTGTCAGGACTCAAGGCCAGGTTGGACACAGGGGCTTGGAGCAACCTGCTCTAGTGGAAGGTGTCCCTGCCCATGGCAGGGGTTGGAACTGGATGAGCTTTAAGTTCCCTTCAACCCAAAGCAGTCTGGGATTCTGGGATTCTATGACTATGAAAGCCTTATCTATGTTCAGAGGTCATGTGTAATCCCAGCCTGCCACAAACTGCTTTGCACTATGCCCCCATTCCTGGGGCACACAAGCAGAAGGTGAGGACCAGTGTCAGTGAGGGAGGTCAGTACTGCCCAGCCTGCTGGGACATCCTTCATTTTGCTTCCAAAATAGTTTCCATCTATTTTCAGTTCTTGAAGCTGTAACAAGAACAAAATGTCCCTGCAGATGTGGGTGCTTTAGTACTAATTAAAGTGATGCCAGCCTGAGCATGCATTAGTGTCTCCATCACAAATGAAGAGACTTTGTTTTCCAGACACATTAGGTAATGTCCCAACAGATTTCTAATGTAAAACTACCACCGAAAAAAACATCTAAATCCTGAGTACTTTTCACAATCCTCTCCCTTTGCCTAATGTTATCACATCTCACTAGATCTCTAACCTGTGTCAGTGGGCCTGACTTGTACCCTGAATGGTTCCCAGTGATTCCTGGCACAGGTCCTGTCTGCTCCTCTCAGCACAGGCCTGGCAGAGCACTGGGCTCTGCTTACTGGCATGCCCTGCTTATGCTCCTTGCCATCCAGGTTTGTTCAGGCACACCCTCTGGAAAAGTCAGTATTTTCCACTGAATCCCTGTTTTTTCTCTGCCTACGGCCATATTAATGAACTGTTGCCCTCCACAAACTGCAGCTATTTGAGCAGTATCTAAGATAAAATGCTTGAAAATAAAGCCAATAGCAAGTCTTGTGTTATCAGGATTCAGTTTCATTTTGGTTCAATTTTCAAATGCTGCACATACATTTCATTGCTTGCATTTAGAGTGGTGAAGGACATATTTGTGCCATAATGCTCTTTTGTGTTTTAAAGAACATATCTAAGCGAGCCTTGGGAAAAATCTTGCTGAGCACTTTGGAATCCTGCTGGGACCCCCAACCTGGTAAGAAAACAACTCACCTGTAAAGACCAAGAGGCATGAAAAGTGTCCTTAGAGGAAAACACTGGATAGATAATGAACAGATGAGTAGGAAGAAAGTATGCCAAATACTGGGGGAGAGGCTAGGGAGAAAGAAGTACTACATACTATAGGAAGTACTAAGCACTATAGGAAGTGATGACTAGAGTCTGTGACACATGAGAAACAGGAAGACATCCAGGATTATTTTAGCCAAATTTTAATTAGAATTTGGCCTTAGGGGTACAACTCAGTATGCCACTAATGTCTGTAGGGCTTTCTTGACCTGAGAAAGTGGAAAACCTCATATGTAAGGCACCTATTTACCAGGTTTGCTATCCCACTGCGTGTTGAATTCCCCTGCAGCAACACAAACATGATACACAAACCACAATATTTCTGTCAAGAAAATGGATGAAACCTGCACTCCTTTAATAATAGCCCTGCATGTTCCTCAGATGAAAGTTAACCTCACAAACTCCTCTCCCTTGACAATGTTCTGCTGTGCCAAAGCTGCCTTTGTAGGAACAACACAGGGCTCTGAGCCTGGAGGTTTGGATTTGATTACTTTGTTCCCATCAGCAGAGCATTTGTACTTGTCTTCAAGAAATGAGCATCCTGTACTAAGCCTAAGAACATGGCTTGGAGGTGCCTTTATTAGGCACACAGTAGTCAAAGATAAGATTATAAAAGACTAGATGTGACCTGAGGGTTTAATTTTGGAGAATATTATTGACAGAGATTTAGGGAGAACCACATACAAACCATTCTAGGTTTTCAGTTTCAATGCTTTGTTGTTGCTAGTGTTCAGCAATCCAGGGCACAGGCAGCCCAGAGCTAAGCTGTGCTGTCCTGGCGTGGCTGCAGAGGAAGCAGAGCAAAGGAGGCAAAGACAGACCCCTCTGTTGGCTGAGCCATAGGTCAGATTTCTCCTGGTGAGAAGGAGAGGAGACTGTTAATACCCCCAGCACAACAAGTGTCCAGAAAGTACTATTTATCCTGCACTTGACTCCAAGTGCTGCTGCTGAAATAACGCACCTCCCTCTGCAACTGCAGCAGCACAGCTCAGCTTCTTAAAATGACAACAACAGTGAAGTGACCTTCTCTAGCTCCCTGTCCATTCTGCATCCCCACTGCCAGAAACAGCTCATCCTCTCTGCTTTCCTTTTGCTGGCTGTGCACTTGATATGACTTAAGCAGCTTTCCTAAGTCTATGCATTCAAACATCATCTTCCTCTTTGACAAGACTAGGTAGATGCTTGGATTGGCAACTCTTTAGTGTGACATGAAATAGTCTTTGTTCACACAAGTATATTAGAACTCAGTGAATGAAGCAAGAGAACCAGTAGAGAAAACAGTCCTTGAACCCAGTTCCACTGCATTTTTATAGGGACAGGAATTCATTATTTGGTTTCAAAACGTAGACATTTTATGCTAATGATGTGAAACAGCACGTCTGAAAGAAAGAGCTTGTGTTACAATTGTTAAACTGCAACTTTCTGTCTTTGTTCAAACTATAACGTTTGCAATTTTCTTTTGGAAGGAAAAGCCCACCTATTTGAAGTCCTAGACACTCTTTACCATGAGCTGGCAGGCTGCGAACTCCTACAAAGCCAGCCTCTGGAGAAAGCACAGAGTTGTCAAGCCTTGTCCAACCCACTGGTCATCTCCTGCTGAGCAGCAGTGCCAAGTACACCCAGAACAACAGTCCTCGTCCCTTTAAAGGCACATGAGTAAATAAGAGCTCAGTGATGGACCAGAGCAACAGAATAATCCAGCCAGGAAACCGGAGGTAGACTGCTTCTGGGCAGAGCACCAGTGCCTCGGCTAACGTCAAAGCCCTCCCTCACATCCAGAGTGGTCCCACACCGTGAGGATCATGTAGCAATGTCTATCTGTGACACACACCCTTGTGTGATGGCCTGTAACTGTGCCACTAACCAAATAAAAACCATTCCAAGCACACGGACCGGACCCGTTCACATGTACAGGCCTGGTTGCACACTGGCTGGGCACAGTTTGTAGCTCAGTTCAAAAGCAAAATGCAGCCCATGTTATCACTGGCAAGTAAACCACTTCCTTAACATGTGACAACAAGGCCACGTTACAAACACCAGCACAAGGGTATGCCAGCAGTGCAGGTTTTAAGGGCTCATGTAAAACGTGTTTCTGTCTCTGTATTTGTGATTCAGCTATTCACCTTATCTAACTCTGAAGTTAGACTGGTTATTGCTCTGCTGAATTTTATATTCACAATTATAGAGCTGCCTTAGAAATCCTCAACAGTCTTTCCTGACAATGGTCTCAGGTTTTACATGAAAAGCTAAATCCACCTGCTTGACAAAGGTACAAAACAATCTTGTTCCCAGGCTCCCAGGGAAAGGAAGGGCTGAAAAGCTCCCTTTGCAACAGCTGCTGTTGCATTAGCAAACACCACATGCAGTACCCACCCTTAGTCTCTCACTTCACTTCCCTCAGTGCAGCTGCAGACACGCAAAGTGAGGCCCCACTTGCAGACCAGTTAATGTGAAACACTGGCCCCAATCATGGTGCCACGTTACCTTTTAATCAGCAATAAAATCATTCCTGAGGGCAAAAGTAAAAACAAAAGTTGCTTCCAAGATGCTTTTGCTGTTTCATTCACAGAAACGGAAACAGCAGAGTTCCTAAATGACCCAACTGAAGTTATGTTATTAAAAAGATGCACTGTATGTCTTTAAAGATGTGAAATGATTTGCCTGAGATAACACCAGCAGTGAAATAAGACCATTCAATTCAGAACTGTGCATGTGTGAGTTTTTCCCATGAAAATGGTTTTCATACAGGAATAAGGACAATGCACTCTGGGGAATATCTATTCCTTTCTGAATGCACTGGATTGCTTGCACACACCTCCATCCCAAACTGTGATACACTACTTGGCATTCAGAGCCATGGGGGTAACAAAAACTGGCAGCAGATGTTTTCGTTTCATTTTAGAGGAGAAAAAAAGAAGTGTTTTGCAAACAACAGATGCAGCTCTCTTCGACAGTGTTTCACCCAGGGTTTCTGCTTTAACAGAGCAAGCTTGTAAGAATAGATAGGTATTTTTAACATAGATTTTTTATAAAGATAAATTAGACAGGACATTCACAGAGTGCAATATTCACCCTGACAGAAAGAAAACTGTATCTTAATACTAAATATATTGTTAACATAATACTAAGAATAATATACTATTGCTCAGTATATACTAAACTACATGCTAATAGGATATACTATAAAAGCTATACATTAAATGCGCAACAGATACAAATTAAAAGGAGCAGAAGTTAGTTCCCTGCTTCTGTTCATTTTTTAATAAAACCCAGGTATCAGCTTATGTTCTGGGCAGCTCTCTCTGACCTCTCCAGGAATACTGCATCCATAGAGAGAGCAAATGCCAGCACGTCATGAAATCAGCATGACCTGGGTGTGGAGTCAGCAGAAGTGATGCTTCAGGAACAGGATTATGATCAGGACACGCCTGATTATGGATAGTCTTATGTGCTGCAGGATTCTTTCATCATTTCAATTGGCATTATTTTCTGTACCCACTCTGTATACATACACAGATGCACATGTATGTGGATGACACATACTCATGCGCACCTTAAGATTCCTATGCTAACTGTATACCTTAGTATCTTTTTCATCACGGAGTTTCCACTTCCCTTTCTAATATACTTCTAGAAATTTCTAGGCTATGAAGTAAACTGTCCTCGTGCCCAAACGGGGCAGGAGCAACATCACCTGAGTGAGCACTGCACAGCTTATCCGAGCAGCATGAACTGGAACCGGGAACTAGAAAATGTCCCTGGAAACCTGAACTGGTGTTAAGGAAGATGCAAACAGTTGAGGTAAAAGGAAGCTTTCGTGAATGCATTTAACTGATATAAGAAGCAGCAAAATCCTATCTTCCTAAGTTAGCTTCCAATCCTGTAACATTTTTACTTCTCTAAGAAATGCCTGGATCAGAATCATTTGTGATACATCAGCATGTGCCGATTAACCTTTTAGTTATAAAAGATGATTATTTTAACTCCAAAAAGTAATCACTATGAAACAAATAAGACTTGAAGTATTTCTATCAGAAGAACTTGTTCTTCAGGATGGATCAAGAAAGTCAAACTCTTGCTGGAAATCAGAGGCAAGGCAAAGCACTGTACTTTGAAAACCTTCTTTGGTGACCTAAAAAATTGACTTTTTTCTTCTATACTTTTGCCTTCCTGTTTTCCCCTGTGCCTGTCAGCAGTGCTGCTGAAGCTGCCATATATTTCATGTGGAGCTCCCTAAAGATGTGATTTTAAATCAATGGAATTGGGAAATTTCTAGCTCTGCCTCACAAGCAGGTAGGCTTCCACAGCTTGATTTGTGATGTGGAACATGTTCAGAAGAGTCTGCACAGGAATCCTGGAAAGGAAAGCCAAATCTCTAGGTTTCCTTAAAGGCCCAGCTTAAGTCCAGTGATTACTGCAAATTTCAGCTACCTTTTATTATTTTTCATTTTCTTGCCTTCCTGAGTATTGGAATTGCTCCCAGACAAGCAGCAAACCGAAATATCTAATCAAGTGCCATTAGTAGCTTCACCAGATGCCAAACAATAATGTAGGAGCAGTCATTACCCACATTGTTGGCTGTGTAACAAACTGCTCCTTTGAACAACTGGAGCTGTCCTCACAGGAAGTTACTCTGCAACTGCACATCTAGCACAGACCCAGGTCTTGGGTTTGCACTGACTGTTATTTCAAGTGGCAGGGAACATGCACCAAGCCTAAGCTGAGTTTGTAAAAGTATTCCCCACATGATAAAACCTGAAAGATGACAAAGCACACTCAAAAGCCTTACACTTAAAAGCACAACCACAAATCCCAGAATCCCAGACTGGTTTGGGTTGAAAGGACCTTAAAGCTCTACCAGCTCCAACCTCCTGCCATGGGCAGGGACATCTTCCACTAGAGCAGGTTGCTCCAAGCCCCTGGGTCCAACCTGGCCTTGAACACTACCAGGGATGGGGCAGCCACAGCCTCTCTGGGCACCCTGTGACAGCGCCTCAGCACCCTCACAGGGAAGAGCTTCTGCCCAAGAGCTCATCTCAGTCTCCCCTCTGGCAAGTAAAAGCCATTCCCCTTGGCCTGTCCCTACAGGCCCTTGTCCAAAGCCCCTCTCCAGGTTTCTTGCAGGATCCTTTCTGTATCCAGTATCTCAAATCTCTGCAAACATTCTGTTTTGCTGTATGTGTACCAGATGGCAGTAAATGGCCATTTGCTTGCATCCTGACTTCTCAGTAAAGGAAAAATATCACAGAGAGAGTGCATGTGCTACAAACAACAAGTGCCATTACCCATCTAAAATTCAGACAAAGGCAGCAGAGCCTTCCAAACATGGACCCAGTCTGGAGGAGTACATGACATGTCACTGGCTGAGACCAGAGCCTGACTTCCAGCTGTAAGGGTTACTTAGGTACAAGTCTGTAGAAGGAACCTGTACTGCTTTGATTCTCAGTTAAGAGAGCCAGTGGGCATCTATAAAAGGGCTAAAGCAACCTCAGTCTGCTGGCTTTGAGGCACTCTGGTTGGAGTCTGGCCTTATACCACACTTGAGATCCCCTCCTTTGCCTGCTCCTTCCTCATTCTAGTAGATTTATTTATTTTTTTTCTCAACACTATTTCCATTCTTACAGGAAGGACAGTTTGCTTCATCCCAGCTGTATCTTGTATCTGCTCTAGGGAGATATAATTCACCCCAGCAAAAAACTAATTCTTCATCACCTCTTCCATATGTTCCGTCTTCTTCCCTCACTAATCGCAGAGCACTAAATCCCGCAGGCTCCCAGGTTTTGAACCTCCAGACTGCTGCCCAGCCTTTCCTCCAATGAGCTGCCTGGAGTGTCCTTACCACTCCTAACCCTCACTCCTACAGGTCACACATGCCCCAAATCTGACTCTCACAGACCTCGCTCACATTGTAGGCTTAAATCATAGGTTTAAACTAACAACAGTGTTTGTGTCTTCAAACTAACATAGTACAATACAGTAAACTGTTCTAACTTGCTAACATGTAGAGAGAAAGGAATGTTCAGCTGATGGGGAAGGAACATCACGGGACTGGTAACAACTAAGGAGACAGTAAATAAGACCAAGGATGCCAGCCTTCAAGACAGGAGAGTGGTGCCCAGTGTGGAGCGAGACTGGAACAGAACAAAAGCAAGGACATACCAGCTGCTAACTCAGCACTAGGACCTTGCAAGCGTGCACAAGCACTGAGGCCATTCGGTTAACACAGTGAGGAAGACGATCAGCGACCACCAGAGAACCCCACTCAGCAAAAGAGTGCATGTGTAATTAGGATGTAAATATTATAATTAGCTCCTGGAAAAGCTATGAATATGCATGAGTATGCTAAATATGCAGCTGCTGTCGGCCATTATTGGATGCACTCACCTTTGTGAAGCAATTCACATGTGCGCCCAGCGCTGCAATAAAGAATGCTGCTTCCTGAAACTCCACAGTGAGTCTCAGAGAGTTTCCCACCAACTTTTACAGTAACAATATCAAAGAACCACAGAACAGTTTGGGGTGGAGCGGGTGTTCAAAGGTCATCAGCCTTTGTCGTTCAACACTAGAGCACCCTAAACCGATCAAACTTGCTTCCTTGGC